GCCTCTTATTCCGGCCGATGGGGGCCCAATCCGGGAACTCCCATCCGGACTGTAAAAAATCAATACAACGTGGCCGTTTTTCTTCTCAACATCGTCTTTCTTGTCGTCGACGATGCGAAAAGCGTGGCAGGAATGGGGCGCGGCGCGCATCGCGCGCGGCAGTCAATCTGGGCCCGCCCATCCTGAATATAAAAAAATCAATGCAAAGTCTTCGTTGCTTCATCTCAGCATGGCCTGCCTTGTCGCCGACGGTGCGAAATATGTGGCAACAGTGGGGCGCGGCTCACATATGGGACGCGGCGCGCATCGCGCGCGGCCGTCGATCTGGGCCCGCCCATCCTGACTGTAAAAAACCAATATAAAGTCTTCGTTTTTTTCCTCTCAGCATGGCCTGCCTTGTCGCCGGCGGTTCGAAATGTGTGGCAGGAATGGGGCGCGGCGCGCATCGCGCGCAGACGTCCATGCGGGCTGCGGGCCCTCCCATCCCGAGTGTAAAAAGCAATGCAGAGTTACCGTTTTTCTTTTCATCATGGCCTGTCTTGTCGTCGACGATGCGAAATGCGTGGCAGGAATGGGGCGCGGCGCGCATCGCGCGCGGATTTCTGGGGCAACCCCAAGGCGGGAGGGGCCACCTTATTTTTCAGAAGCAATGCCGTGCTGATTTTCGCTTGCCCACATAGCTGTTCTTGTCGTCCACCCCGCAAAAATGCGCGGCGAGAATTGGGCGCGGCCCCCCCCCCCGCTCGAAGTGAATGAAATGACCTTCTCGCTTGGGCGCCGAGCGACATTTTCTCAAAGTTGCGCTCCCGCTTTGGCTCGGCGCGCGTCTTTAGCTCGCCAATTCATTGGGCGCCGGGGCGTTCCAGCATGCCCTGGGGCGACGAATGCCTGGGAGGTTTTTGCTTCTTCAGGCTCTTGGAGGGCCTCCTGAGTCTCCCCGCGGCTTCTTGGCGCCACGGCCGTCTGGAGGCCATCTTGGGCGTCTTGGAGCGTTTTTTCGGCGACTCAGGGCTGCTGCTAAAACTACTACTACTACTACTACTACTACTACTACTACTACTACTACTACTACTACTACTGGTACTACTGGTACTACTACTACTACTACTACTACTACTACAACTACTGCTGCTGCTGCTGCTGCTACTACTACTACTACTACTACTACTACTACTACTACTACTAGTGCTCCTCCCTTCTCCTCTCCTCGCTCCCGTCTGATGCTGCCGCGGCCGCGCTCCTTTTCTCTTAGCCGCGGCAGCCCGCGCCTTAGTGGTGATGCGCCGGGCCGCCTCAGGAACAGGGCGCCAGGCGGCCCAGGCGAACCGCCCTCGCCTCCCTCCGACGGCCGTCGGGAGCGTCACGTTGGACGCAGGAGGCGGCTTGGTCTGCCTGGCCGCTGGGTGCCGATCGTGGCAAGCCGCAGCGCTCAGGCGCGCGCCCACTCCTCTCCCCTCAGCGGGGGTGAGAGCCCCTGATGCACTCAGGGCGTCAATGTTGCTGGGCGGGGTCGGCGGCCCAAACAACTGCGGTCGCGGAAGGGGGGGGGGGAGAGAGAGAGAGCTCGCGCTAATCTTCATGAATGACGGACTAGTGCTCCTCCCTTCTCCTCTCCTCGCTCCCGTCTGATGCTGCCGCGGCCGCGCTCCTTTTCTCTTAGCCGCGGCAGCCCGCGCCTCAGCGGTGACGCGGCGGGCCACCTTAGGGACAGGGCGCCGGGCGGCCCAGGCGAACCGCCCTCACCTCCCTCCGACGGCCGTCGGGAGCGTCGCGTTGGACGCAGGAGGCGGCTTGGTCTGCCTGGCCGCTGGGCGCCGATCGTGGCAAGCCGCAGCACCCAGGCGCGCGCCCACTCCATGCTTGCACTCCCAGCGCGCGTGACCTCCTACGCGACACTGAATTGGCGGAGCTGATGGGCGTCTGAGGGCGCAGGGCACGGGCGTCAGAGACGACGGCGTAGCAAAGACTTTCCCTTGGCTATCAACCGCCGCTCCTTCGCGCTGAGGCCGTGGCGCTCCAGCATGGCCGCGCCGCCCTGGATGTAAATGCGAGCCGTGGGCTGGTGCCTCCAACGGCCGCGGATGCATGTCTTGGAGAGACTTCCCAGGATCTTGAAGTGGTGGGTGGCCCCTCCCCGGCGCAGCGAGTACGGCTTGTACCTATCAGGGTCGGCCCCTATGGACTGGGCCAGTCTCCTGAAGGCACGGCGGAAGCCGCCCGTGCCGCAGGGGCACAGCTGGGTGCCAGCTGGGCGTCCTTGCAAAAGCTCAGCAAGGAGCACAACCGCCTCGAGCTCGTCGATGGTGACGCGCTCGGCGGTGCCTGACCTCTTACCTCCCTTGGTAAAACCGAGGTTGAGGTGCACCGCGCCACGGTCCAGGTTAAAAGTGCATTGCCCGGCCGTCAACATGCGCTCGACGGGCCGAAGGTTGCCGTTGAAGCACGCCTGTACTGCCGCAGCTGTCGCTAGGTCTCCTTCCTCTAATGCAAAACCTGCCATCGCAAGAGACTGCTCGGGCAATAGCGGCCGAGCACGGGAAGGGATTTCGGTCTTAGACCAGGTGCCGAACAGTCTCCAAGAATCGTTGAGACCTCTGCGCGAACTTGGAACAACATGTTGGAGCCCCGACAACGTGTCTCCCACCAAGCTCTTGGATTCTCCAGCCGCCCGACAATCTTCGAGATACTTCCCAAGAATCTCGTCGGCGGCTGGGATCGAGACAGGCAAGGGCTCACCAAGGCGCAGGAGCCACTGGAAACATATAAGTGTGGCCTCCAGATACCGCTGGGCAGTGCGCGGTTGGAGCTGCAATGATCTCAGGGTCCCCGCTCTGCTTCGTTCATCCTTTCTCTGCTGCCTCGTCCCGCCGCTGAGCACTATGGCTGCCACCATCTGCTCGGAGCGTCGGCCGGATTGAGCTCCGACCGAACGAAAACCCAAAATGGGTGGCTGGACGTGGCTAGCAGGAGCGCGTTCAAGCGCATGAGGATGGACTGAGGCTGGCGGGACTGCGACCTACCCTTGCAGGCCACTGCTATGGACACCAGAGAATCACAGAAATGAATAAACCTCGTGCCTATGTTCGCACGGCTCCTCATCCGCCAAGACACGGCGGTCAAGAGGGCTTGCCGCTCCAAGACGTTGATGCGCGCGCCTCCCTGCTTGAAGCTCAGGCAGGTGCGCCAGGGCCAGCGGTCCGCATCGACGCCTCTCCTTGGCCAGCCCGCAGGCTTCCAAAGGCCTCCCGTCGCGGCTCGCACATCGCCGCCCTTGAAGATGGCGTTCCGCACAAGTGACTCGCAAAGGGCGCGGTGCGCTTGATCGGGGGTCGCCTCAGCGGCAGGCGCGTCCAGCAGCAACTCCAGGTAGAGGCCTGCCTCCTCACTTGGGGCGCCCCAGCACTCGGCGACAGTCGGCGGCTCGCTCAAGACTCCAGCGGCCACCAAACCTCTTCCAAGTAGGAAGGCTACCACCGGGACTGAGAAGGAGTTACCCATCAGCGAGCACTTGACGTCCTCGTCGATCGACCCCGACTCGGACTTGGGCACGGCCCAGCTGCAGTGGTTCCAGGGAAACCCCAGGCGCACAACCCGCTCTCTGCTGGTCAGAGGTCGGAGCTTGTGCTTGGCGCCCGACTCCCCTGTCCTCGCAGACGCGGCGGATGCCTCGACCAGGTTGTCCCTGCGGTGCTGGTGCGGCGGGTAGCGGTACTCGTCCGCCGCCCAGCGCCCGCGCGCAGCCTGGTCGGTCACTCCCAGCCCCGCTGGGGAAGGCGGCGGCCTCGCGCGAGGGATGGAGCGCACACAGGTGGCCCGCGCTCCCTTCTCTCCCCGCGGACGGCGCGCGCCCTGCTCGAGCTGCTCTGCCCAACTCGGCCAGCTGCCAGTGAGCACTGCCTCGATGACCTCGTCCTTCTGTTGGCATTGGAACTCTGAGGTCTCTGGCCCGAGCGGCCAGTCGTCCCAGTAGAGCCTCGGCCGCTTGACCGGACTGCATCCGCTGGCATAGAGCTCCACAGGCGCGACTCCCATGACCTGGCTGAATCTTCCCCTGTCGGCGGCGGTCATCGAGCTGACGTTCTCGCCCCGGGTGAATACCTGGGCATCGGGGAGGGCGGCTCGCACGAGGCCTGCCACGCGAGGTAGCTCTTGCACCAGTCGCGCGCGGTCCTCGGCCCAAGCCTGCCCAAAGGCGTTGATGCGAGCGACTCCCTGGCACGGGGATCCCCCCAGCACGAGCGCGACGCGCAAGTGGGGCGCCTTCGACATCGCGGCCTTGATCGTCTTCAGCGTTATCTTGGTCACGTCTCCGAGCTCTATCGCTGACGGCCGCTGCTGATGGCTGACGCGCCGAGCTTCGGGCAATAGCTCTGCGGCGGCGTGGACGGCGACCTCGATACCCAGGCGGTCGAAGGCCATCCTGCCGCCCCCGATGCCGCTGAAGAGCTCCACCAGTCCGACCTCGTCTCTCCCGGCTGCGCGACCCTGGCAGAGGTCGGCCAGCGACGGGGCGACGGCTGACGGGCGGAGCTTGTTGCTCCAGCACGCGCCCCCACCGGTCTCCAAGGCATCGCTGCAGGTGACCATCGGGGAGACTGGGCACCTCAGATCGAACTGATGCAACGGGAGGAGGCAGAGCGCCAGGAAAAATTCCGCGCTCACAGCTGGAGACAGATGCTGCCGAGGCGGGCCCGTCCAGGCGTTGATCAGCTTCCAGACGCGCGTGAAGACGCAGGAGAACTCCCGACGGAAGCAGTCGAGGCGGCACCAGTGCCCTGCCACCACCTGCACGTCCTTCCTGCAGACCATGGAGCACAGAAGGTGCAGCGTCAGCTGCGCCGCCAGCCCTGCTCTAGCCGCGGGGATCACGACTCTCCCGTCACGGCCATCAACACAGGCGCCCAGGCGCTGGCAGTGGCTGACCCTGGTGCCGTTCTTCTCGCTGAGAGGGACATCAAGGGCGCGGTACTTGGCACGAGCCGCCTGGGCGAAGCGCCCCTTGTCACCGCTCTCCTCGACCTGACTCCCCTCGGCGGAGTGGGGCTTGCACGCGCGCCGCTCGACCTTCTCAGCGTAGTCCGCGTCGTCGCAGTGCACCTGCCAGACATCGCGCGTGCCACCACCAACTCGCAAGGCTGGCACTCCGCGGTCCTTGCGGATCTCCCTCGCCCGCGGAAGGCCGAGGGGAGACTGCGTGCCCTGCGCCAGCATGCGGCGGCGCAGGTGCTGGACGAGCCCCATCGCGCTCTTGTACCCCATGGGCATCGTGACCGCCCCGGGGTAAACGCTGCTCGGCCAGTGCCCCTGCAGCCCGAGCTCCTGAGGCGTGAACTTGACGTCGAACGCGAAAAGCGGCGCCCAGCACTTCGGGAGCCTGAACAGGTAGAAGGCGCCCTTGAGGTCGTCGAAGGACCACGTGAGCTCCTCACCTGGGCCGATGATGAGCGAGCGCCACTGTGCGAAGCAGGGGGGCGCCGCAATGTCCCCCTCGAAGTCGACCGTGAGGGAGTTGGTCGCCGTCAAGTTCATGATAAGCCTCAAGGTCCCAGGGTCACCATTCGGCGAGGGCCCCCCCCTTCGGGACCCCGAACAGCCCGTTCAGAAGGGGCTGCCCCACCAGTGTGATAAGGTCCTGCTTTCGAAGCGGCACCACCAGCCCGCGTTCGAGGAGACCTCTCCCGAAAGGAATGCGCGACGAGGGCTCACACATCACCCGACCTGGACGTGGTCTCTCGCTGACTGACTCCAGCGGCGCCAACGTGAGCTCGGGGCGACTGAACCACTCCTGCATCCTGGTGTCGCACAGGGACATGACGTCCAGCGATGCACAGCGCGCAAGCGGCGGCGAGCTCGGCAGCACTCGGGACCATGAGAGGTCCTCTGCCTTCCTGACGACCTCCCCGGTGTAGGTGACCTGCCTGGACGTCCGGAAGGTGGCGGCGGTCTGCTCTGGCAGCTTCGGGCCTGCTGCCAGGAAAGACTCGACCGTCCTCTCCAAGTTCCAAAACATGTGGACCTGGTGGCCACTCGGCTTCGCGCTCTTCATCTTGACTCCGCTGGATGCGGCGCCTGGCCAGCAAGAGCGACGCGCCAACCACATGGCGTTGAGCGCTCGCGTGACCAGCTCGAGCCAGACTTCCAGCCCGTCCGGGACAGGGTGGGCTCGGTGGCGGCCCATGTCGTCTCCCTCACGCTCGAGCTGCTTGTAGGCTGCAGCCTGCCTGTACTCCTCGCTCCACCCGCTTTCTCTCCCGACAGCCATCGGCATGGAGCCGCGGCCGTGTGTGGCTGCCGCGCTGCAACCGACCCCTGGTGACGCCCTGAGGGGGAGGCGGCGGGCGAAGAGGGGGCCGATGGCTGGCAGACCCATGCCCGACAGCTCGGCTGGGTCGATCAGCCCTCGAAGGGCCTCGAGCTCAGGGCACGCCTGGCCACCGCGCTGGGCGGCTGGCGTAGAGCAGCCTGGCGCCCGAGCTTGGTCCGTCTCCGCCGCCTCTCGCTTCGCCTTGATGGGTGCGAGCGAAGCGGCGGGGGGGGCCCTCAGCGGTCCTTCTTCTTGTTGGCCTGGCGAAGGGCGAACCAATGCTGAGGGGGGCCCTTCCTTGGTTCCTTGCCCTTGCCTGGCCCCGAGCCCTTGCCTTTCCCACTGGACTTGCCGTTGGGCTTCGGCTTGCCCTTGCCTCTGCCCTTGGGCCTCGCCCTCGGCGGCGGTGAGGGGGTCCGCACCTGCCGTGCGCCGCCGCGGGGTGCGCGATCGCGATCGCCCTCCTGGGCCAACTCCTCCTCGTCCGATCCAACGTGGGCCGCAGGGCCCGCAGGGTTGCGCAGCTTCCTCCTCGGCGGGGACTCCGAGAAGCGCACCCTGTCTCTTCCACGGTTGTCTCCTGAGGGGCTGCGGTCGGCCGAGGTCGCGTCTCTCGCTGGCGTCAGTGTGACGCGCCCTGCGGGGCTGCGCTCTCGAGAGCCGACTCCCCGCTCTGCTGGCTTCAGCTCGATTCCACGGCTGCCTCCAGGGCCTTCCGACCCTGGCCGCGGGGGCGCTCCGATCACTGCCGGCTCCCCCGCGGGTGTTTGTCAATGCTTGCCGCGGTTCGACCCGACCTGGCCCTCTAGCTTGCGGTAGTGCATGTCCCTCTTCTCGTCCCTGAGGAAGGCTTCGCGCTCGCGGTCGTCCGTGATGCTGACGCGACCGTCGCCGACCACCGAGGCATGCCGAGCCGCTTTCCACGTGCCCCCGTCGGCGTGGAGCTGCTCGATGGCCTTGTGCTGCTGGATCAGCACGTCCGTGGCAGTCCCCAGATCGGCTTCGAGAACCGCGTCGACCGCTGTCGCCAGCGTGCGCATCTCGAGCTCGTTGCGAGCGTGAAGCTTGCCCTGGCAGCTCGGCAGGTACACGCTGGTGAAGTAGTTTAGCATGCGCGGCGCCGTGTCGTCCGCGACCGCGTGCCCCTTGCTGACGAGGTAGCTGCGCATCTTCGTCAAGGCGCGCTCCGCGATAACGCCCGGCTTCCTCTCCACAAAGCGCTTGGCCTTGTCGCGCGCGGAGAAGCGGGCGTCGTGAAAACGCTTCGACGACGACCCCTCGCTCGACGCACTTCCGTCAGACTCCTCGCGGCGCTTCTTCTTCTCGCGCTTCGCCTTGCGTGGAGGCGAGCCGCGAGAGCTTCCGCCTCCGCCTGCAGAGCTGCCGCGCTGAGAGCTGGTGCCTCTCGACTTGGTCTTGTCCAGGATCTTGCTGCTGAGGCTGGCGCGGCCCTCGGCAGGTGCGCTGGGCGCTCTGTCGCGGGTCCTCTCCCGGCGGGGCGAGCGGCTCCTCTCAGCGCGCTCTGCCTCGACCAGGGCTCGCTGCTGGCCTCCATCGTCCTCGGGGCTGTTGGGGCGGATCCTCGCCGGCGCGGACTGCAGCCTCCCGCTCCTGCCTGCGGGGCGGCCGCGCTGTGCAGCGCGCTCGCGCAGCTCGCCCAGTCGCCCCCTCAGCCCTCGATCGCGGGCGTGAGCCGACGCGCCACCTCCAGGCCCCTCGCGGCGGGCGCCCGACTTGGAGCCGTCGGCGCCCGCCCCGCGCTCTCCCCGATGACCAGGTGGTGGCCCAGGGGGCGAGCTGAGCTTCGCTGGCCTGCCCTGCGCGCGCCTGGCGTCCGCGACGGCCTGGCCCTCCTTGTCCCGCGTGAGCTCCTCGCCTGCGTGGCCGCGGAACGGCAGCGCTGCGCAGCGCCAGCGGCCCACGTGCAGCACCTGGGCGTCGACCAGGTTTTCGCCCGCGCGGCGCTCGTCGGCGTGAATCGACGCCGAGCAGAAGTGCAGCGCTGGAGTCCTCGCCGGATCGTCGAACGCCACGGCGAGCTCCCTCCGCTGGGCGGGCTTCTCCGCACCCATGTAGGCGACCTCCCAAAGAGGCGGGGTCTCGCCGTGCATGGGGTCGGGAACCGCCCCGTCGTCCTGCGCTGCCTGACCGAGCACCTTGAATGTCGCCAGCCCGCCCATCTCGATCTCGATGATTGGCGGCTGGCCCTTCCTCGGGCCCGACGTGGCCGACGACGGCCAGGTCTCGCCCTCGTGCCAATCACCAGCTGGGCGGTCCGCTCCGTGACGTGAGTCGGCTGCGACGTCGTCGTCGTCATCGAGGACTGCAGCCGCTCGGTCGCCAGGCGCGAGGTGCTCGCCCGTGCGCGACCCTCGCCCGCCAGAGCGGGAGCGCCGAAATGCAGACTGGCGGAGCCCTGAGGCTGAGCCCCGCCGTCCGCCACGGCTGCCTCCGCGGCTCCCTCCGCCTCCGCCGCCCTTCGGCTTAGTGACGCCACAGTCGGGGCGCGGTGGCGGGGGGCCGCGGGAGCGGCCTCGGCCTCCGCGTACGCCGTCGGGCTTGCGCTTCCCTCGCACCGCCCTCGGCGCAAGCGAGGCAGGGCGGCGCGGCGCGGCCGCGCCTCGCCGCGCGGCGGCCGCTGGCCGCTTCTTGGGCGCCATGGCCCAAGCCTCTCCGACTGTCGCGGCTCGCGCTCCAGCCTCCTGCCAAGCTGCGAGCCGCGCGGCAGCGGGCCTCCCTCTGGGGGGGGGGGGTCTCGCCCGCAGGCGGAAGAATCGCCCGCGCGCGCGCGGATCGCGTGCCCGCGCACGGGCTGCATCTTGTTTGAACCCAGACAACTGCGGTCGCGGAAGGGAGAGCGAGAGAGCTCGCACTAATCTTCATGAATGACGGACGACTACTACTACTACTACTACTACTACTACTACTACTACTACTACTACTACAACTACAACTACTACCACTACCACTACCACTACCACTACTACTACTACTACTACTACCACTACTACTACTACTACTAGTACTACTACTACTACTACTACTACTACGACTACGACTACGACTACGGCTACGACTACGACTACGACTACTACTACGACTGCTACTACGACTACTACTACTACTACTACTGCTACTACTACTACTACTACTACTACTACTACTACTAGTACGACGACTACTACTACTACTACTACGACTACTACTACTACTTCGACGACTACTACTACTACTACTACTACTACAACTACAACTACTACTACGACTACTGCTACTACTAACACGACTACTATTACTACTACTACTACTAACTACTACCACTACTACTACTACATACTACTACACTACTACTACTACTACTACTACTACTACTACTACTACTACTACTACTACTACTACTACTACTATACTACCTACTACTACTACTACTACTACTACTACTCCTACTACTACTACTACTACTACTACTACTACTATACTACTACTACTACTACTACTACTACTACTACTACTACTACTACTACTACTACTACTACTACTACTACTACTTTTTTTACTACTACTACTACTACTACTACTACTACTATTACTACTACTACTACTACTACTACCACTACGCGCCAACACCCAGTTGCGCCAGTATTGTTTCTTATGCTGTGGGAGGGCGGAACGTGTCCGTTGTTCCTTTCAACATGGCCAGTCTTGTCGTCGACGTTGCGAAGTTCGTGGCGGGAATGGGACGCGGCGCACATCCCGCGCGGACGTCAGTGCGGTGTCCTGGGGTATCCTCCACTCGCACTGCAATGCCCGCGCGACCCCCAGTTGTGCCACCACTGTTTCTTATGTTGTGGGAGGGCGGGTGGGAATGGGCATGCCATGCTTGACTCGCACGAGCTGGCTAGCTTGACACCCCCCACACCCCCTACCCCACCCCCTGGCCCCCCCCCCCGCCCCCCTCAACCCCCCCAACCTATCCAAACCACCCTCAAAAAAAAACCCAACGCCCCCCCCCCAACCCCCCCCACACCCCCCACACCCCCACACCCCCCACCCACCCCACAACCCCAGACCCCCAGACCCCCAGCCCCCCAGACACCCAGACCCCCAGACCCCCAAAACCCCCATAACCCCCCCACACCCCCAGAACCCCCAGCCCCCAGACCCCACAGACTCCAGACTCCCAAGACCCCCAGAGCCACCAGCAAACCCAGACCCCCCAGACCCCCAGACCCCCAGACCCCCCCTACCCCCAGACCCCCAGACCCCAGACCCCCAGACCCCCCAGAACACCCAGACACCCCAGAACGCAAACCCCCTAGACCCGCAGACCCGCAGACCCCCAGACCCCCAGACCCCCACATCGCACACACACACACAGACACACACACACACAGACACACACAGACACACACACACACACACACACACACACACACAACAACACACGCACACACGCAACACACACACACACTCGCACACACACAAACACACACACAATACACACCCCAACCCACACACACACAAGCCCACACACACCCACACACACCACACACGCCGCACGACTCGGCTACAACGCGCGCGCACGCACGCACGCACGCACGCACACACGCACACACGCACACACGCACACACTCACACACCCACACACCCACACACACACTCACACCCATCCACACCCACACACACCCACACACACCCACACACACACAAACACACACACACAAACACACACAGACACACACACAGACACACACACAGACACACACACAGACACACACAGGCACACACACACAGAGACACACACACAGCCACACACAGAGGCACACACACACACACACACACCGACACACACGCACACACGCACGCACGCACGCACGCACACGCACGCACGCACACGCACACACGCACACGCACGCACGCACACGCACGCCCGCACATGCACGCACGCACACGCACGCACACGCACACGCACACGCACACACGCACACGCACACGCACACACACACACACACACGCACACACACGAACACGCACACGCGCAACGCACACGCACACACGCACACGCACATAACACAAAAAACACGACAGAAACAAAACCACACACACACGAACCCACGCACACGCAAACGCAACACTCACACACACACACACACAAAACACACGCATACGCCGCTCGCCACGTAACGCACGCACAGCACGAACGCACGTCACGCCCGCACGCACGCACGCAACAGCGCGCGCGCGCAGCACGCACAGCACGCATACGCACGCACGCACACACGCACCACACGCACACACCACACCCGCACACACGCTACAACACACGCACACACTCAAAACTGAAAAAACTAAGACCGCAAAGAGGTAGCAAACACGCACACAAACTCACACACAACGCACACACGCACACACGCACCACACGCACACACGCACCACTCGCACACATCCACTCACACACGCACACACGCGCAACCCGCGCACACCACACACGCACCCCCGCACAGTTCCCGCACACACGCCCGACACGCAATCGCTCGAAAAAAAAGCACACCTGCACACACGCACACTACGCACACAAGGATAACAACGCACACAAACGCACACACGCACACACACGCACACACACACACACGCACACACACACACACACGCACACACGCACACGCGCACACGCGCACACGCGCACACACGCACACACGCACACACGCACACACGCACACCCAACGGCTACCGTGTGTGTGTGTGAAATGCTGTTATTTTGTTCGTGAACGTGAGGGGCTCGTCCGTGAGCTTGGGAAGGATTGCACGGGACACCCTCGCAAAGGAGACAATGCTGGACGAGTTCGACAGCAGCGGAGAGACCTGATCCCAAGACTCGGAGGCCTCTCACGGGAGCTTGATTCGATGGGGCTGCCGTTGGTTGCCGCTGCGGAGTTTCGGCTTCTGGTACATCCACATGTGAGCCTCTGAGTCCTTCTTTTATCATCGCACGCTACGCGTGGCACCCCACTCTGTGTTTGATGTCTGTGCTCTCACGTCAACGTTCTCTGCTGTTGATTGTGTTTGTGCACGCTTCGCGTGATATCCTCCATTGCGAACCTGATGTCATGCTTTGTTGCTCCCGTGACATAGCGCACGCTTCGCGTGGTCTAACTTGGGCCGTGCTTTGCGCTTCGCGCGACGCTCGCCCGAAGGGTGAGCTCCGCCGTGCCTTTGCTGTGGCGTGGACTGTGGGGTCCTGCCGTAGCCTTGCATGGTTGATCGGGCCGAGGGGCTCGGTTGTGACGGCCCTGGTGGCTGTCGTGTGTACAGCTTGGCTGTGCACACCTGCACGATGAAAAAAAAAAACGCACACACGCACACACGCACACACGCACACACGCACACACGCACACACGCACACACGCACCACACGCACCACACGCACCACACGCACAACACGCACCACACGCACCATACGCACCACACGCACCACACGCACCACACGCACCACACGCACCACACACGCACCACACGCACCACACGCACCACACGCACCACACGCACCACACACGCACCACACGCACCACACGCACCACACGCACCACACACGCACACACGCACACACGCACACACGCACACACGCACACACGCACACACGCACACACGCACACGCGCACACGCGCACACACGCACACACGCACACGCACACACGCGCACACGCACACACGCACCATTCACGCACACACGCACACACGCACACACGCGAACGCGGCGACACCCGGCACTCGCGCACTCGCGCACTCGCGCACTCGGAGCACTCCGAGCACTCGCGCACACGAGCACACGCGCACACGCGCACACGCGCACCGCGCACCAAGCACCAGCGCACACGACGCACCACGCGCACACGCCACACACGCGCAACACGCGCACACGCCCACACGCGCCACGAGCACACGCGCACACACGCGCACACGCGCACACGCGCACACGCGCACACGCGCACACGGCACACGCGGCACACGCGCACACGCCACTCGCGCACAACACGCGCACACGGCGCACACGCGCACACGCGCACACGCGCCCCGCGCACACGCGCACACGCGCACACGCGAAACACGCGCAACAAGCGCACAACGCGCACACGCGCACACGCGCACACGCGCACACGCCGCGCGCGCGCACACGCCGCGCGCGCAGACGCCGGCGCGCGGAAACACGAATCACACACACACGCGCACACACACGCGCACACACACGCGCACACACACGCGCACACACACGCGCACACACACGCGCACACACACGCGCACGCACACGCGCACGCACACGCGCACACGCGCACACGCGCACACGCGAACACGCGCACACGCGCACACGCGCACA